TTAATTTTAATCAAATTTAAATAGTAAGAGACTACAGAGCTGTTACCAATCAAATTAAATCAGTATCAACACAATCTGTGTTTGCAGTGCAGAGGAACAGAATCTGTGTCTGAAGTGGCATTTAGATGCTTTCACACAGACTGTTTAATGCAGGACATTAATGCAGAAACAAAACATTGAATACTAATATTTGAAAGGATTTGGAGGGAAAATATACTTTCAATATAAAGCTAAATTCACTGCATGAGTGAGCCATTGAGTCATTCATTCAAGCGATTCGTTCAAACGGCTGATTGATTCAGTAACGAAACACTGTTGTGTTGCTCAGAGACGCAAAACAGTTCAGCTGTGGCTTTGTTTGAAACTATTTTCATTGATGAAATAGAGCAAATACAGGAACTGTTGTCTAAAATGTAAGCCAATTAATATTAACTTCTTATTTATTGAACTGCTCGTCAAATCAATGTCACATTTGCAATCGTGATATTTAGAGAGAAAAAAAACTCTACTCTTTGTGTGACATACTATATCAGATGATATAAATAAAGACATATAAAAGTCATACGGGACGTTTTTAACCCTTGAATTTTGGTGGAATTCTAAATATTTAAATATTTTAGAATATTTTAATAGACAATCACGCAGTGAAAGCGTGAACTCTAAATGTGAATCTAAATCTCATAGTGTATGTCTGAACTCTCTGGGTGTGTACTCGCTAATGTAAAATCGCATATCGTTTAAAGGGGTCCTATTATGTTCTTTTACAAAGTCTTGATTTTGTTTTGGGGGTGAGCTAGAACAGGCTCTCATACTAGGTTGTTCGAAAAACACATTATTTTTCACATATTTCACATTACAACATCTCTCTCCCCAGTCTGGCATGAACGGCTCGAATAGTTCCTGTATCAAATTAAGGCCCGCCTTCTGAAATACGAAATGTGCTGTGATTGGTTAGCTGGGCCAGCGTGTGCTGTGATTGGTTAGCTGGGCCAGCGTGTGCTGTGATTGGTTAGCTGGGCCAGCGTGTGCTGTGATTGGTTAGCTGGGTCAGTCTGTGCTGTGATTGGTTAGCTGGGCCAGTGTGTGCTGTGATTGGTTAGCTGGGCCAGTGTGTGCTGTGATTGGTTAGCTGGGCCAGTGTGTGCTGTGACTGGTTAGCTGGCCAGTGTGTGCTGTGACTGGTTAGCTGGGCCAGTGTGTGCTGTGATTGGTTAGCTGGGTCAGTCTGTGCTGTGATTGGTTAGCTGGGCCTGGATAGCTGGGCCAGCGTGTGCTGTGATTGGTTAGCTGGGCCAGCGCGTGCTGTGATTGGCAGCACTTGGCGCCTGGTCGGGAAATATCATGCCCCTTACAATAGCCGCCTGCAAGCTTCAGTGTAAATATTGTGTCAAAATCAAATCAATTTGAGCGTGATTTAAACCCGGATGATTGTAACCACTCTAAGTTCGTTTTGGGAAAGCTAGCGTGTCTCCGACATAGTGATAACACTCGCTGCCTTCTCTAGTGCAGCTCAACCAGGTCTCGTCCCATTCGTCAAAAATATGCGTTGTAGTCCAAACGAGTCGTTCGTTGTAGTTTTTGAAATGTGTAGATTTCTGTTAAATAAAATATCTCCTTTTGAAGTGGACTTTGAGCTTTGTAACTTTGCAGATCTTTTTTATGCTCAAACAGCAACATTGCAGACTAACTAAAGTTGAAAAAGTGAAAAAGCATAATAGCACTGCTTTAAACAACAATTATGATATCATCGTAGACGATATATATCGCACGCCCCCAGCTGCAACACACCTGCCTCTAAAGCTGAGATCCTGAAAACCGTGTTTAGCTGGTTCAGGACTGAACTCTACAGGACAGGAGCTCTCAGGAGCGGCCATCCCTGCGCCTTCATAAAACTACAGCCAGTTTCCCTGAATGCTCTCTGAAACACTCACTCCATGCCCTGAGCCGTCTGTCTGGCGATGTCCATCAGCTGGAACATCTGGAAGTTGGTCTCCTGCACATGCAGATGTTTGTAGAGGCTACTTCCTTCACACCACTGCGTCACAATGGCCATGTTTGCCTTGGTCATGTATCCCATAAACAAAACAATATTGACATGCCTGGTCTTCCTGTAACAACAACAGAAACCACTTCAGCTGCTCGGCCAATGAGACTGACTGCATGTGGACAGTGTTTAACAGATGCTAGCACTACATGAACACTGGAGAACGAGATCGTTACAAGGTTATAATGCAAATGTTTCTCTCAAGCTCGCATTTATGGGTATAATGTAATAATTTCACTATAAATAATTGCAGTTTTCCCTTTTGTGGTTTACCTGAGAACAGCTACTTCGTTGCGAAAGGCCTGTAACTGCTCTGGTGTGGGATTCGTGACCTTTAAAATCTTCACAGCAACATCACCTGAAAATTCATGAAATAAAGTAACTTAAACTGACTAAAGCAAGCGGGATTTCTGTTCGTCTAAGCCTGTCGACTCAGCTTCACATTATAAGTGCACTTCAACTAGAATTATAATAAAAATCATGGCCATGAATTAAGAATTCATTCCCACTATTTATTAATTAGTTTCACCATTTTAGCTAAATTGTGTCAATGTTGTAATAATTTATTCCAATCATTTATTAATTCGTTCCCTTATTTTAGTTAAATTATGGCTATGAATTAACTAAATTAAAATGAGGGAACAAAGTAGTGCATCGTAGCCATGACTTAAAACAAGTGAACTAATTAAGTTGTGGGAACTAATTCTTCATTTGAGGCCATGATATATTTTATTTTTCCCCCTGCATGTCATGTATATATCAATATATAGTGATTTTATATAATTTTATTTATATTACCCAACCATTTAGGAATGTTTTTTTATTTTTATTTTTTAAAGTGCCCCTATTATGCCATTTTTAAGGTTCCTAATATTGTATTGCATTTAATATCAGCTCATTTTCCAGCGATTCTCAAACGATTCGTTCTAAGTAGTTCTGCGATTCGGTCTTTCTAAACCCCGCCTTTCCATGAGCCTGCTCTGCTCTGATTGGTCAGATGGCCCGGTCTGTTGTGATTGGTCTACTGTGTACAGCATGTGTCGGAAACGATATGCCAAAGTTGTGTATTTTGAATGCTCGATAGAAATTATAAACATCTATTATTTCTCATACTTACAGGTTGTGATTCAGTGGAGTCAGCTGGTCCAAATACACTGGGCACTGAGCCATCTTTCAAAAGCAAGCGTTTTGTGAAGCAGCCATCAGTAAAATGATGAGAACACAAAAAAGATCGGGGTCGCACTGCTGTGGTACAGTGGAAATTTGAATTTTAGCCACCGATTCTTTGCAGCCTCATCTTTCGGAAGTGAAAATAAAATGAATTTACTTTCACAGCGTAGGACACAGCGTCTTCTCCACATCCGAATTAATGAAGACTCGTTTCGGCTGTTCAGAGTCGATTCTTTCTTACTTTATTTATCATGCACTTTCGGCTTTACAACTCTGCAGATCGTTTACATTCACATACAGCTACATTACACGCTGCATGAAAGGCAATATTCGAAATGGCATAATAGGTGCACTTTAATAATTAGTGACTTAAGTTTTTTTATTTTTATTTTGGAACTCTGATCACAAAGATCAGATTACTAGAGTTAAATACAAAACACTCAGACACTCAAAGACATCCTTTTCACTGGATGTGTTCGATGCCATTGTGAAATAGCCATTACATGCACCCCTGCATGACCACACATCAGCTGAAGTCTATTTAATAACACAAATAAATAAATGAATGGTGAGAAAGAACTCTTACCGTGCCACTTCCCTTTGTAAACTGTGCCGAAAGACCCTGAGCCGATCCTGGAGAGCAGAACCACCTCAGTGGCCTCGATCTCCCAATAGTAGCTGGAATCTCTCTTCTCTCGAGGACGCTAGAGACCAATAAACAAACCACGCCAACATTAGCTAATGTTGACAGAAATGTGACGTACCGTTTAAAAATGATCATTTTGTTTGAGTAGCAAGAAACTGATCCAAACTTAGTTGGCAGAAATGAATCAGATTTTTCATTCTAGCGTGTCTCAAGCAAAGTAAAGTGGACATGGCTGGCGCTTACGATGCGTTTTTCCTGAGTGTTGGTCGAAGGCGCTTTCTCCCTGTGAGCTGGAGCCGGGGTTTTGGACCACTCCGTCGGGCTCTGATCTTGAGGGCTTCCTGTGAATGAATGCGACACAAAAAAAAAAGGGATATGTAAGAAGGTATTTCAACCTTAGCTTTGCTATGAAACCTGAGGAAAGGTTCTGAAAATCCCCTTACCGGATTCATCTCGCCCTAAGGCTTCCTATAAATAAAGAGGGAAGTACTATTTTAACATATGGAAACTTTGAGAGATTTTATGCTGATTTTAGGACAGAACAGTAAGCGCTGGCGTTTCACCTGATAAGCAGCTTCATCGACCGGCTGGGTGGTGCTCACCATGTGGACGTTGGGGGTGGATGTGGACAGCACTTTATGACTGAGAGAAACACCCGGGGACGGCATGGGGGTGATGTAGTTTAAAGCATTTGGCGTCGAGTATCTGTGATAGGGACTAGAGAAGTGTTTGTGCGTCAGTGAATCTCAGCACGCGCTCACACCACGAAGGAGTGTTCGTTTTCTCACAAAGCTTCGGATGAGTTTAGACCCAAGTCTGGCTGTGCATATTCACTTCTTTCATAGCACAAACATAAAACTTCACAATATATATTACAGGATTCACTAAATATTATAGAGTGCTGCAGGGACAGTGTATTTTTGTAGGCCAAAACCCAGAAACGAGATGCATTTTAGCACTTCCGGTTACATCGTCCTGAAGTCAATGGGTTTTCTGAATTGGTTTTTGATTTTAAAAAACAAGGTGAGCCTCATAAGCTTTTGTTGGTCCCAGAGCTTATTTTCTGTAAAAAGCCAATGGGAAAAACCTATTAGGGTTTTAGGCAAAGGAACCAGTGTGATGCTAACATAAGGTTTGGCCTACAAAAATACTCCATCACCGCAGTGCTCTATAATAAAAGCATAGTGAATGTAAAGTTAAAACAAATGTAGGACAGACTAAAGAAGATCAAATGCCACTAGCACATTTAAAAACAAGAACATTTGCTTAGATCTTGATTGGCAAAAAGAATATATATAAAAAACAACAACATCTACAGATCAGGCTCCTGCTGAGTATCAGTGCGCATTTTATGTGAAAGTTACCAAATAGATTTACGTCATCATGAAAACAGGAAAAACTAACAAGTTGCAAAACTGGGTGCAAGTTTACACAGACAAGGCCAGCAACGTCTTGTAATGTGTAGTGGATATATTTCTAAAGCAGTGTGGATTTTAATGGTTGTTAGTTGTTTTAATTACTTGTTGGCCTAGTGTACTTCCACTGGAAGTGTGTTATTGTTACAATTATTTTTTATGATCAATCTCATGCCACAAATGCTGTAATCTTGATTGGGTTGCGTTTCTCCACCTGGCTGGAACTTTCTAAGGCCAATCATTTCAGCACTAAATGGGAAAATATAACTGTTGATTTTTAACTAACAAATATTACTAGTGAAATATTTTAACAGCATGCATGATTTTGAGATTAAGGTGGCTGTTTATGATATAAAGCTGACAAAACTGCGTAAGGAACAATGTTTTCCAGCAGACGATCACCTGAAATGCTTTAACACAAGGAACTACAAGCATAATCCCTAAATACAAGGAAGAAGAAAAAAAACAAGGTGGCATCTTGACATGCTTTGATTTTCAGAGGACTTGTCAAGTCAGTTCACTGCATTTGAGGTAAATATAGAAACAGGCTATATTTACCTGAAGGAGAATTTCGAGTTCTGCATGCGACGGGATGAGAGGGGAGGGAGTGATGGAGTCCCGTTCTCTCCGGGAGTCGGGAACAGCCTGGAAAAGCACACGGCCATTGAATTAACTTAAATTAAATTACAAATACAGAGTTCTGGCATGCAACTCTAGATGGCGCAGTCCGATCTGGACCTGGTGACATCATTGTCACATGGCAGCTGATTGGTTCTCTCCTGTATCGGTAGCCAATGAGCTCGCTGCTCAACATTCAAATATATGACTAGTGCTTGCCGTAGCAGTTGCAGCTTGCTTCAGAAACCCTCCACCTTCCCCAGCTCCATCTGTATAGATCTGCTATGGGGTGATTCATGTATGCTATATGGGGGTTATTCATATGTGTTATATGTGCAACAGCAGTGTTTCTGACATGCTCACGGCAGCATGTTGTGGATGTATTGGCAGCAGCAAGTCTCTGTACTTTCTCTGCCGCAGCAGCAGCAGATCTATTCCGCCAAGACCAAATACATTAACATTGTCATGTACACTACCATGCCAATCCCTCCGAGAGTTGTCATGACAGAAATATTACACATTTTTTCCCAGCTATACAATATATAATTTTAGATGGACTAATGAGGGATTTTCCTTGGTATAATCTTAGAAAACATTATGCTTGTATTTTATTTTATTTTTTTAACTGAAGTAGGGCTTTGTGATGAATTCCTGCAGCATGAAGTGACCAGTACGAGCACCAGAAGAATGGACCTTTGTACCGTGCATTACCTGATTTTCATTGATAGACATCTACAAAGCTCACAGTATGAGGGCCTCTATGCAAAACTCTTTCTGTGCATCAAGAGACTTCCCCTGAACTACATCTACATGTCTATCTTCTCTTCAACAGAGGAAAAAAGCCTGTTCAATATAAAAAAAGCTATGAAACACATACATTACACAAAATCAGCACTTTAAGCATTTATAATAGAACGTGCATAAACTGGGTTCCTATGCCTTCTGAGTTTCTATGACATCTCACTAGAAAAACATATACAATATAGTATTGCTGTAACTTTTCCTTTTCTAGGTCTGGAAATAACATTTTAAACATTAAAATCCTGATATTTACAAGACAGTAGCCCTGTGTAGACGTGAAGCGTGACAAAGCAGGAGTTTGTTCTTGTGTTTGGGTTGATGAACACTCACAGGAGCTGTCGGATGTTGCTCCAGTCCACACACATCGTGGGCACTTTGGTGCTGCAGTGCTCGTGAAACTTGTAGCCGCACGTCTGACATCGGAAGCCGTGCAAAAGAAACTTCTGACATATGTCACAAAAGGCCAACTTCAAAAAGGTTTTTCGTACCTGTGGAGGGGATGGTCATTAGAGAAGTTGTAAAGACAACAATGGCTCAATTTAAACACATTATGGGAACTCACAAAATTGTGCGTAGTCAGGGGTACGTGATCTAAGACTTCAACCAGCAGCTCCTCTCCGACCAGTGAGGTAGAATCAGTGCTCCAATCCATGCGCAACTTTTTACTGAACAAAGAATGATGCGATTTCCTTTAATTGACTTTCAGGGCCAAGATTAAGCCAACTGGAGCTTGATTATTTCAGATATTAAACACACAATAACAGTTTTCATAAGTATTCATGCCCCTTTAAGTCATAATTAGCAGCTCTGCATCTATCAGATTTGCTCTGGTCTCTCTGGAAAAACTGCTCTAGCTCAGTCAGGTTACATGATGGGAGACCTTTACAAGTTCACTCATAAACTGGACCGAGATCTGTACTCAGAGTTGGCCACTCCAGGACAAAAATGCTGATTTTAAGCCATTACTAGAGGTTTTCCTCTAGGATATCACAGTCATTCCCAAATGCATCGGAATTAACTCCTGTGAGCTTGTAAAATGGTCTATACCAAAATCCAGCATTATCAGTTACAATGCATTTTATAATTTGTTATTTTTTTTACATCGTTTTGTAAAAAGAGACTTTCTGTTAATCATTGACAAAAATACCTAATTAATTTGGGTTCAATACATACACAACTTTTTATTGGAACTGCATGTTGATGGCCACATGCAAACAGTGAAGACAAGGCGATAAACTTTGTTGTCAATAATATCACAGTGCTCAGTCTTTCTCACTATATTCAATTCAGACTGCAAGCTCACAACATGTTTTTTTTTTTACCATAGGCCACAACTTACAATGGATGTTCTCGATGAAGCTTGAAAACAGCACAGCATTCCGGCTGAAGCCCACGGACTTTCAGGGCTTTGATGAGGCAGTTGCGTAGCGTCATACCTGGTCGCACGTTCACCTATTACAACACAAGTTAATCACTTAAAAAAATCGCTTAAATTGAAGTGAAAGCATGTTAAGGTTGTGTAGATGAAAGGAACAATCCAGGCTGCATCTTTGGCATTATATCGACAAGCACTTTGTGAATTTGTAATAACAAACTGCTCATTCATCATGGCGCTTACAGCGTAAGTCTATGGGTCAAGACACTGCACCAGGATAATCTCATGCTCATCATATTGTGTCAAACATTCACTGAAAGTGTTCGAAAATAACACAGATTATTTTATTGTTACCACAGTCCGCTGTTTGTTGGGCAGGTAGACGCGGATTGTGCTGCTAGTTTTCGAGTCTGGGATTCTCCCGTCATCTGATAATCTCCGGTACGAGAAGTTCTTGAGAACGGTGGGAGACATGCAGGATTCTTCAAATACCGAGTCTTTGCATCCAAACCCGTGACTGATGCTTTTCCAGGCCCCTTGAATATGCTCCATCACGGCGGGCAGCAGCAGACTTCAATAATCTAGCATGAGAACAGAACAAATAGAAATGACCCGACCTCACAAATACTGATCTGAAATGAGGAACGTGGCCAAAACAATGGTCCTGAAAGGAATAGTTCACACAAAAATGAGCATTTGCTTAAAATGTACTCACCCTCCGGCCATCCCAGATCAGGATGAGTTTGTGTCTTCAGATAAACATAACATTTTAATTTTTGGGTGAACTATCCCTTTAAGACGTTATTAACTAAAAGAGTCCATAATCCATAATAACACTTCCTCCAGTGAAAAAGTGCATCTACTGTCGTTTCTCACATCAAAACCCTGACACGTGTGTTTACTTTAGACCTGTTTTTGGACTGTTTTGGCTTGTAAACCACCACTTTTCACTGGACATTATGGACTTGTATTTTAGTTAAAAACGTCTTAATGCTGGATGTGCCTCAGCTTTTGTCTTCTCCAGATGTTCACTGATGGACTGGAGTGCTGTGGATTACTTGTGGATTGTTGTGATGTTTTTATCAGCTCTCATTCTGACGGCACCCATTCACTGCAGAGCATCCATTGCTGAGACTCTGATGCAGTGCTACATTTTTCCAAACCTGATGAAGAAACAAACTCATCCTAATCTGGGATGGTCGGAGGGAAAGTAAAACAAATCTTTAACAAACAAGACATGAATTATAATATATGGTTAAAAACACCATTTCCTATATCCATTACTCTCATATAGTACCTAGCAACTCTGAAGTGGGTATTGTAATTGTAATGTGACTACGTGACTCAATAACCCTCCAAAACAGCACAGCATACAGTTTATAAACAAGGTCACCCGCAAGTCAAGACTGAATCTAATGTCATGTAATGCAGTCTTTCTATTACAGCTCGCAACATGAGAGTGAAGCTCCTGATAAGTCAAGGACAAATCTCTCTGACAGGGTCCTCCGAACAGAATCATTCAAAAGAACACCCAGGTAGTCTTCAGATGATAATAATAAAATCATAATGTTTGATGATTAGTATTTCTACAGCACACTTCTGCTTTCTGCTTCATCAAAGACGGGTCAGTCTTTCTGCAAAATAATTCTTGTGTAAAAATGAGTATAAACTTTTGTATTTATTACAGTTTTTCTATAACATTCAACATCCAACCAGGAAGGTTTATCTAAATAATAGATGAAGCTAAAGCCATTCACTCAGAAGTCATGATAATAATAACACAGAACAACAGCCCAATTTTGAGCTTGATAATAACAACAACGATAAAATTAATAACTTAACTGCCTGAAAATGGTAAGGACAGATGATCGACAGGCCAAGACTATTTCCACCGCTTCTCAGGACAAAGCACACACATAAAATGCCCAACAACACATCTGATGAAGTGTTCTAGGACACACTTTTGTTGTTGCAAGAAACATTAGCCATCACGTCTTTGCCGCTAAGAAGAGCAGAAACGCAGATGGTGACAGATATCACGTCAATAACTGTGTCTGAAAACAAGCCATTACGACTTACAGTAGAATGAAAGTAATCCAAAATTGTTGGATTACTGCTATTCTGTGTTTCCTAACCGTTCTGTGTATGAAGAACTGGCAATATTTCATGTCCTTTCACAATCACAATGGTTTGTCCACACTGCGGCCAGCTCACGATACAAGTCACGCAAGTCACACAGTATTCGTGGCCAAGCGTTTCTCACCCATTTTGCATGAGCCACAGAGATATCCACCTGTTCTCGCTCGGAAAGTAACTGTGTAACTATGTTGGGTTTAACTGCTGTGGCCTGCTGATCCTTTTTTAGGTCTTCATTGTTCTGACATCAGAAACCTGTCGAGCAGGTCTGAGCAGCTATCAGAGACAGACACTCTCTGCTGATCTGATGCTAATGCTGTGAGAAACACAAATGAGTCCGGAGTAAAACACTCTCAGTGTTAGGTTTACAAGTCAAATCGCTGCCCTCAATTTTACAACACGCTGTCAAAAATGTCATAATGTCACTTCAATATCTTGAAGCTACCTAACGAAGTGTTTGTGTGTGCATATTATAATATGATATAAATGTATGAATATCTTTGCGTTAGACAAGTGTGAAAATACTGTTTTGGCCACTAAACACCAATTAACCAAAGTTTGTTTTTCAATTTGAAACTTTTAAAATATTCAATATTTATTCATTTTATGATTTCTATATGTGACCCTGGACCACAAAACCAGTCATAAGGGTCAAGAAAGCTGAATAAATAAGCTTTCCATTGATGTATGGTTTGTTAGGATAGCACAATATCTGGCTGAGATACAACTATTTGATAATCTGGACTCTGAGGGTGCAAAAAAATCTAAATATTGAGAAAATCATCTTTAAAGTTGTTCAAATGAAGTTCTTAGCAATGCATATTACTAATCAAACATTAAGTTTTGATATATTTACGGTAGGAAATGTACAAAATATCTTCATGGAACATGATCTTTACTTAATATCCTAATGATTTTTGGCATAAAAGAGAAATCTATAATTGTGACCCATACAATGTATTGTTGGCTATTGCTACAAATATCCCCCAGCGACTTAACACTGCTTTTGTGCTCCAGGGACACAGATCAGTAACTATTCTTGAAATATGGCTCTTTGCATTGGGGATAAAAGTCAAATAATGACTGTTATTATAATACAACTACTAAAAAATGTCCACAATTATGGATTTCAAAGAATAGCTACGAAATGAAACATTCTTGTTTAGACTAACAGGTCTCTAAAACCATATTCAGAACACTTCTTTAGACCCTGCAGAGAGGTTTATAAATACTATTGCATCAGAAAGCAGCACAATTAAAGCCATTAGAGGAGTGCTGATAGCCTGATGTCTACAGATCACTCGGCTGAACCACAATAACATCAGTTTGCTTGGGTTCAGACTCATCTGCAGTAGCTAGTACAATAAATGCAGAACAGTACAGACAGGCTTCATGAAACTGCAGTCTGAGGAAACAAATGTGTTTTTAAAAATGCATTCAAAGGACATCTGGGTAATTCTATAAACAAACATTTCACACAACTTGATCAAACGGAGAAGATTTGTACTGGAGGAAAAACTAGAGAACAATGAAGAGGGTTGTTAATGTTTCATGTTGGCAGTAATTCATATCACACAGTTACACTTCATTTGTTTCAATATATCAGACCTTGTTACATTAAACCCGCTCGTTCACACTCCTGGCATTATTTACCGACACAAGAAATGATACTGATACACTAATGTTTTAGCAAAGTCCATGTAGTTGTCCTTTGAGAAGTTTAAGCAGCTATACTCGCTGGATCTGTGTGGCAACAAGACACGCAGCTGACTAACTACACGACTACAGAAAGAAAGGGGAAGATTTACCCGTGTTTACTAACACATTCTCTAGTACACTTCACACAAACACTGATGTTTCAGCGCAACAGCGAGCGTCTGTAGCGTTACTGAGCCCCGAGTCATTGCGACCCGATCCGCGGCGAGGAGCGCACCAAGCCTGCGAGGAGTCCAGAGAGCAAGGGCTTTACTCACCAGAGAAAGTTGTTGAATTGTTGATCCGCCATGATTTCCATCACTGCAGCGACGCGACGAGCTCGCTGGTTTTTGTCCAATGCTTCAAGCGGTCGCGTGATATGGCAAGCGTCACTAACATTTAATGACCCAGGTTTCGACTCGTCTAAACTCCAGGACCAGATGACTCATGTGCAGTGTGATTGGTAGGCTAAAAATATGAATTGAAGATGTCTACATTGCAAGTTTGACTAGTCACAACACGGATAGTTGCTTTCTATATATTTTTTTTTGTAGCTGTGTTGGGTACAAACCTTGGGAAGGTTACTTTAGAAATGTACCGTATTGACCCGAATATAAGACGATGTTTTTTTGTTGGAAATGCATCTGAAAAAACGCGGTCGTCTTATATTCAGGCTCTAGACTTTGACATGTCAATAATACACACACAACAATAGGTGCCACCAAATACTCATAAAACCAGTGTGTCGTGAAATACGTAATGGAATGCGTGTTGTAAAGATCGCGAGTAAAAACAAAAGAGAAAGAAAAGCTTACAGCTGCATGAGTCATGACTGTCACGTTAGCCTGATGCGACCAAACTCTCTTTGTGATTTTAAAACGTAACACAGAACCCAGATTTGAAGACGGCAGAACTTCTGACTTCTTGTTGGTACATTTGACCAGTTTTTACCATACTTTCAAAACAAAAATTAAATAGGAAAAATATGCAATATGATAATAATTGAAGACAAAATGTGTTTTACTGAGAAAAAACAAGATTTGGTTTTTAAAAAGCCTTTTTCCAAAAGGTACATCTGGGAAAAGGGGGGTCGTCTTATAATCAGGGTCGTCTTATATTCGGGCCAATACGGTAATAAGTTACAGATTATACTTTAATAAAGTAATGCAACGGATTACATTTCATTACTTTTCTAAATTTCTAATGTTTTTCAACTGTTAATCATTTTCAAACATGTAAACCAGGCAGGGTTAACCGATTGCTCTCAGACATTTTCGAATTAAGATTCAAGTAAAATTTCATTTTAAAGCACAGGGACCACTTACATCGAGAATATTTTGAGGTTAAATACAGATTTTAAACCATAACAAGAAATATTTTAGTTGCTATGATGCAGTTTCTCAAATCTTTGCATAACTATGACAGGAAAAACCGATTGCTCTCAGACATTTTCGAATTAAGATTCAAGTAAAATTCTTAAAAAAAAAATAAACCACATAAACCCAAAAAGGATAAGCATGTGTGCTATGCTGTGTCCTGAATGCCTGTCTCATATTTTAGAGCAGTCGCTGCAATTTATGAAAGAAATCAATTAAATCTGTATGTGGGTGTGAAAATAAATTCAGATGTAACCCACTTTGTAATCGTTAACATTTTCATAAGTAACTGTAATTTAATTACACATTTTTTTCTCAGTAACTGTAACTGATTACAATTACATTTATTTTGTAATTAAATTACGTAATTCTGTTACATGTAACTAGTTACTCCCCAACACTAATATTAAAGGGTTAGTTCACCCCAAAATGAAAATTGTCATTAATTACTCACCCTCACGTCATTCTAAACCCGTAAGACCTCCGTTCATCTTCGAAACACAAATTAAGATATTTTT